TCTGAGGTTCTCACGGGTATTTGTATGTGGATCTTTGGTTATTCGGGTTTTCTCCCGCGTAAGATTGGAAGTATCTAGGCAAGTATCTAGGCATATATATATATATATATCTGTGCACAGTGAGTAAATATCAGTAGTGAACTGTGAATTGGCGACAGGAAGGACACCTGGCCAATAAACACTAAGCTCCATTCAGTTGCCCTGGCTCCAGCCTATTAAAAGGGATTACAAGGTCATTAAAAGACAAAAAAAAGGGTGTGTGTGTGTCTAATTGGATACATGTTTTATTGCAGGCATATCTGAAGAGTAAATGTTGATATTGAGTTTCCCACCACATTAATTAATCCTTTAGAATATTCCAAGGTACGAAGTGCTGGGGAAAAAATGAATTAACTGAACTGAATTGTGTGGAGTGGCTCAAGACTGCTGCTTGGAAAGAGTTTAGATTTTTTTTTCTTTCTATTTTCATCCTAGGCTTGACTAATTATTTAACCTTTATGTTAATTCTGTAATAGGATTTGAGAAATAGGGGACACACATTTCACAGAAAGCATATGAGTTCCTTTTTTTTTTAAATGATTCTCCTGGGTGTGTGTCAGTGGTGGGATTCAAATTTTTTTAGTACTGGTTCTGTGGGTGTGGCTTGGTGGGCGTGGCAGGGGAAGGATACTGTAAAATCTCCAGTCAGATGTGGGATTTGCCGGTTCTCCGAATCACTCAAAATTTCCGCTACCAGTTCTCCACAACTGGTCAGAATACCACCTCTGGTGTGTATGTGTGTGAAAGAACAATGCCTTTATTGTTGAAAATGTTATTTCAACAAATAATCTTGTTGGCTTTAATGGCTGTCATTAATCTAAAGCATAAATTAAATCTGAAAAAGTGGTAAGGGAAGATGAAAGCCTTTTTTGGCTGCCCCATAACTCATTCCACCATCCTCCGTAAGTCCCCTTCTATGCTTCTACTGTTCTACCCACTGGCTGCCTTTACAGTTGCTGCAAGATTCTTATTTCCTCCTAATTATTCTTCTTGCCATACTCTGAGACCATAAAATTTTTATCTTGCATTGAGAATATTTAATTGTGCTGGCAATAGCATTCAGTTTTCTCCAATCTATATAGGTTATAGGGCCATACTGCCATTTTATTCCTAGGTGAGTTCCTTTATAAAATCTGGGGGCTTATTTGTGGCTTTATGTATCATGGAACACTAGTAATCTTCCATGTAAATTTTCAAGAACCATAACCTGGATCCAATGCTAGCTGAGATACTGTCTATGCAACCCAAGTTATACTGTAGCTGGTTTGGTTATGACCTGAGCTACTGTAGTCTATCAATATATTACAGTCATTGAGCATAATTTGAAGATAATTAAAATAAAATTGGCCAAAATATTGCAAAATAATACAATATTAAATAAAATATAATAAGAACCCAAATTACTGCACTACTGAACATTAGCAAATGACTAAAACATAAAAGTAATCTGATTAAAATTTGAAAATATATAATAATGAACTGGAGTCTTTGGAATCTCTTATTTCAGAGAAGATAAGCTTATTATTTTTTAAAAAACAGGTAGTCCTCGCTTAATGATCATTTAGTGACCATTTGAAGTTACAGCAGCACTGAACAAATGGTATTTACATTTAGTTCCTAAAGTTACATCCCTTGCAGCACTCCACTGGTCATCCAATTAAAATTTGGGCACTTAGCAGCCCACTTGCATTTACGACTGCAATGGTGTCTCAACTCCTCCCTCCCCCCTAGCCTATTTCCACCTCTTGTTGCTCTTTTGGATACCCAGCACAGCAGTACCCTTTGTTGGTGGTATCAATGGGATTAAAACAGAGGCTCACGATCTTTAGCAGCCTTAGCTGGAAACTGCAACTTTCAGGCATCTTCTTCAGCCCTTGTGCCACTGGCATTGCCACTGCCACCGAGAAGTGTCATCTCAAGCTCGTGCCACGGCCTGCCCCTTTAGCACCACAGTATAAAGCACCAGCCACCCCACACCTTGGGATTCTCTGGCCTTTCTGTGCCCAGTAGACTTTCACAATCTTCCTTTTCTCACTGCTGACAAGATGCACCTTGCTCAGCTTCTGGCTGTGCCTTCTTCCTGGGGGCTATGCGCGCTGTTCTCCAAAATGCAGGAAGCACCATAAAAAGTCAGTGTATGATTTGGAGAATGTTCGATGCAATTTGGAGAACACTATACACAGTTTGTGTAGTGGTTAAGGCTTCAGGCTAAAAACCTGGAGACATGAGTTCTAGTCCTGATTTAGAACCAGTCATTCCTTCTCAGCTCTAGGAAGGAGCCCATGGCAAACCAGTTCTAAATTCTTGTCAAGAAAACTGCAGGACCTTAGCCATATAGAATCAAGAATCAAAGGCACTAAATAAATAAACCGTCCCCTCTATCAACTAATCTGCACCTGCAGATTCTGTTTGCTTTCTTATCCAGAAATCATCCATACACTCTTAATTTAAATAAAATAATAAAATAAAATAAAATAATAAAATAAAATAAAATAAAATAAAATAAAATAAAATAAAATAAAATAAAATAAAATAAAATAAAATAATAAAATAAAATAAAATAAAATAAAATAAATAAAATAAAATAAAATAAAATAAAATAAAATAATAAAATAAAATAAAATAAAGTAAAATAAAATAAATAAAATAAAATAAAATAAAATAAAATAAAATAAAATGGATGGAATGGGAAAGATGGAAATGGGAAAATGGAAAGGATAGCTACAATGAGATTGCGAAGACAGGGAAACAAACAAGGGGGGAAAACAGGTGGAAATCAAGTAAAGAAAGATAGTAAATTCCATGATTGATACCCAAATAAGCTGTATTGAACCATTTGAGGAGCCTCTGTGGCGCCGTGGCTAGACTGCACTACTACTAGCTACTGCTAAAGCCAGCTGCCTACAATTTGGCAGTTCAAATCCCACCAGGCTTAAGGTTGACTCAGCCTTCCATCCTTCCGAGGTGGGTAAAATGAGGAGCCAAATTATTGGGGACAATATGCTGACTCTGTAATCCGCTTAGAGAGTGCTGTAAGCACTATAAAGCAGGGCTGCGCCAGAGCCATGCAGGCTGGGCAGAGCCGGGAAAGCGAGCCGTGGGTGCGTTCCCGCCTGCCAAGCGAAAGAGCCGGGCCGACCCGAGCTTGGCTTCCTTCCCAAGTCCCTCCAGCCCAAACCCAAAGGGGCCACTGGGAGAGGCTGCCTGAGGCAATGATAGCGCCCACCCATCCACGGACAGGGAGG